GCTCTTCTTAATGCAGCCCAGGATTCCATTGGCCTTCTTGGCCACGAGGGCACACTGCTGCCTCATGGTCAACTTATCATCCACTATGACAGCCAGGTCTTTCTCTGCAGAGCTGCTCTCCAGAAGGTCGGTCCCCAGCCTGTACTGGTGTCTGGGGTTATTCCTTCCCAGGTGCAGGACCTTGCACTTGGCCTTGTTGAATTGCATGAGGTTTTTCACTGCCCAGTTGTCCAGTCTGTCCAGGTCCCTCTGGATGGCAGCGCAGCCCTCTGGGGTATCAGCTACTCCTCCCAGTTTGGTATCATCAGCAAACTTGCTGAGGGAGCACTCTGTGCCTTCATCCAGGTCATTGATGAATAAATTGAACAGGACTGGACCAAGGACTGACCCCTGGGGGACCCCGCTAGCTACAGGCCTCCAACTAGACTCTGCACCGCTGATCACCACCCTCTGGGCCCTGCCATCCAGCCAGTTCCTAATCCACCTCACTGTGCACTCATCTATCCCACACTTCTGGAGCTTGCCCAGGGGGATGTTGTGAAGGATGGTGTCAAAAGCCTTGGTGAAGTCAAAATAGATGACATCCACCGCTCTCCCCTCTATCTATCCTCATCTATCTCAATATCTATCTCAATATCCCTCATCTATCTACAATAGAGCACTGCATACCATAATGACGGCTAGGACCTCAGAGGTGTTTGATCAGTTTTCTGAAATTGCTCAGCTTCCACTGAGAAGAAAATACATATGCATATATATAATCACATTCCCATAGACATTTAATAGGTAAGTATCCATTTAAGCAGAGCAAGAGAACTCTTACCTTGCCATAATAAAGTAATCTACAGAGATCCTTAATGATGTTGGGCATTTCTGTAATCTTCTCTCTGCAGTCTTCAAACTGCGCTGCCACACTGTAACACTTACTTACATAGCCACATACCTATAAAAACAACACTTTTTGAGTTCCAAACAAAGGGAAGAATGTTTATAAGTTTATCGTATACATATACACATAGATTCTCAAAGGACTGATACAAATATCAGTTCAAATTACTGCAACTTACCTGTACAGACATATCATCTGGTTTACTAGAATGAGTCAAGACTGCCACACAGCGATTAAATGCTTCTTGCAGCGCCTGCAAGGATTAGTTGATGCAAAAGTTGTCACAACAGAAAAAGGATCAAATAAAGTATTCGTTTGTCAGTATCTTGACAGGAAACATTTGATTTGACAAAGCAGTCTGTTGCTGGCAGAAGTGCTCTTTACAGGGCAAAAGTTCATTGAAAGTGCCAATACTAGCACTTCATGAGAATTAACAGCAGTCTCACATGTGTGCTCATGTATGCAATGAAAGGGACTTGTTTGCATTTCTCTATTCTTTCACAGAACAGAAATACACAAAACCTCAGAGTTTTGTAAAGAAACACAGAGCAACATATATCATTTGCTAATCTATGGTTTAGCTGAAAAGCCAGGTCCAGAAAGGAGTATGTTCTGCAAGAAGCTTCTCTTGCCTGGATACAGTAGAGAGCATTAAATTGGACAACTGTCTTGACAAGGTCAAAAGTGATTCACAGATGCACAAAATATGCATTGCGGGAGTGGGTGGAGAGGAAATCAAGGATCTGCAGCTTTAACCATATTAAACCAAAAATCCACTTCAAGTTTGTCTACCTCAATTCCATTTTCTCTTCTCAGTTCTTCTGCATTTAGTGCTGAACAATTGACAGTGTGGAAAGCAAGTTCTGTAGCAGCAGGCAACAGAGGAGATTCTTTGGAAAACAAAAGGTCATCTGATGTTTCAATGGTAATAGTCTTTATCAGCATAGGATAGCCTGCATACTTGTAAGGTTTCAACTCTGAAAGAAAGAAAAAAGCCTTTGTGTTCATATACATGCAGAGTTTGAGCCATTTTAAACCTGCATATAATTAGCTCTGGAAAACATATAGCAGTATATAAGAACTAGGGATCAGAGAAAAACAGCTGTTGTTAGATGCCATGTACTATAACTACATAATGCTATGGCAAGTTGGAAGCCAAATTAACAGGACCCTAAGAAAATGACCAAAAAAATCTGAGATAGCATATGCCTACCTTCCTTATGCCTGTTGAAGAGGATGCTCTGAGTTTTCAAGATCAAGATGATATTTTCTGGATCTGGCCCATCAACCACTTTGGCAGACTTTGTGCATAGAAACTCATACGCTTTATTCACTTTTTCAAACATATCCTGCAGATAAAAGAGGAATAGCCTTCAGCATTTCCTACTACCCCTTGAATCACTACAACTCTGCAGCACCATTTTAGCCACAGGCAAAATTCTAGCATTGTATGTTACTGGTCACAGTGCTTGGAACATTTTCTGAAGAAGTAATAAATAATAAAGCAACAAAACAAGTAACTGATTCAAAAGACAGTTTTAGTGTTATTTCCCACACTCCACCACATGAGAGGAACTAAAACAATGTATTGACTCTTCCATGGCAAAGGAGTAGATAAAGCTTTGATGGGCAGAGGAGGAAGTCTGAGAAGCCACCCCTATTTCATTTTAGAACTGGGTAACTGTTTAGACCAGACACTTCCTAATGCGATTAGATCTTACCACACTTCTGAGTTTGCTGTAAAAATGCTCAAAATCCTTGAATAGTATTACTTCGTATTCCAAGATTTATTTAGGCTATAACTTTTACAAGGAAAGAAAAATCCAGAGAAAACTTTCAAAGCAGCGATCTCAAATCCTGCCTCAAATGGGCCGTTTCCCCTCCTCAACCTAACACCACAGGTTTGGGTTGTACATACCCGGCCTTCAGGATTCTTGTCTGGGTGATATTTTTGTGCCAACCTGAAATAAGCCTTCCTGATCTTGCTTTCATCATGCCTGGAACAAGACAAGTCCTGTTACACTGAGTAACATGAAAAGAAGGCTGGATTGTTACACCACCATTAACAGTAGTAACTGTAATTAAATGAAGACTACAAAGTTTCACTTCGATCCATTTTAAATTTGATTCATCAAGTGACACTGAACAGGGCAATCTGGCCTGAGAATAGAAAGAATTTTGTGTATCCCTTACTCAGTTTCAAGAACCAGCAGAGGCTCAGAGTCACTGAACCTTCTGAAAGGTTAAGGGAGCTGAAAGTGATAACTGACATTCCTATTAGTGATCTATAAAAAATGCAACTTACCATATTTACAATTAGTAAGTTTTTGAAATACCGAGTGTTGTTAGTTCACTTCTAAAGGCCCAAAGTGAGAAACCAGGAGCAAAACAGGAGGGAAAAACAAACATCCTTAGGGTGTTGCTACCAAGAAAAGACGACAGTTTGGAAGGGAGAGGAGAGTTCCGCTTTGAACACATTCAAGTTCACATCTCATTAGGGCTGCATCTAATGTTTCTGTCCAGTAGACCAGCCTAGTGAATGCTTTGAAGAGCAGTTCAGACTCTTTTTCAGTTTTAATTAGTCTAGACTCAACTTCTCTCTCTCTCAAAAAAAAAAAAAAAAAAGTAGGGAGATTTTTTTCAGGCTTTGTTTCTTACTAAATAAAGCAACTTTCTCTTGTGAGAGAAACAGGTGCTAGACATAACTGCACTGGTATCAATAACTGGTTGCAAGATAAGCAGAAATTTGCCTGTTCCAACAGGCTATAGAAACATAACAATCATACACTGCTTTAATTACTGAAAACAACTTACTGTCCTTGTCCTTTGGGAAGGCTAAGGACTTCGTAAGCATCATCTATTGACATGGCAGGTGGCTTCTTTTCTACCTCCTTCTTCCAAGCTTCTAGGGTATCTTTCAAGAGTTTAACCTGAATAATTAAAATGTATTAGTGTTTAATTTATGCAGACTGAAATGTCCCCTTTTGCTTTACAGGGCTGCAACAGCAAAGTGCTGCTTTAAGGAATTCTTATCACCCACCACAGGAGCTCAGATGCTTTATCTAACCCTCTCACCTTCAGTAATCAGAGCTCCCCCTCCAGTCAATTCAGGGTTAAGACTTTGCTTCACTGCAGTGGCATGTATTCTATTCATTATTAAGAACAGATGAGATGAGAGTGTCTATTTAAGAGTTGTATTAGAAGAGAGAGAACCACTTCACTGAACTCCCATCTCCATACTAGATGACCTGCAACAAAACTGCAGGAATAAGTGCAGCTGACTAGACTGATCTAGACCATCAAATAGTACTGTACGTAGCACCAGTTTAGTTATGTACTAGTATGAACTCAACTCAGTTTCATGTCCAGCGTGGCCAAGAAACCAAAAAAGCTGATCTATCTTCCCCATAGGCTTAAACACTACCTAGAGCTTGTTAGAGGCATTACCTTTCTCACTTAGTATCCACTGCAAGCAATATATACTCAAAGATATAATATTCTACTTAAACAATATTTGCTATCTTGGACATATCAATCCTGACTTTCAGTTCACAAGCAAAGAACCACCTACTTTTAACAAATGTAACATTTAACATCCTTAGTATTTGCTCTTTCCTACTCCTGAAAGTACCCATGGCAAGAACTAAAATAATCCTTAAAAATCTTTCTTACAGGATCTTTAATTGGCCAGTCTGGAAATCGGAGTGTATCACACAGATGCTTGAGGTAATATATATTACAGAACAGTTCATTTTCTAGTTGTGGATAGTTGATAACTGGAATAGGACAGTATTGGTAGAGTGCCCTTGTATTGCTTTGAAGGCGAGGGGTGAAGTCAGCAAGGTGAGCAGCAATCTTCTCTATCATAAGACGCCTGAAAGTCAGAAAGTTTGGGTTGACACTTGCTAAGCACAGTCAGAGAATCACAGAATCATTATGGTTGGAAAAGACCTTCAAGATCGAGTCCAACCGTAAAACCATGCCCACCATGTCTGCTAAACCATGTTGCTAACCGTCTCATCTACACATTTCCTGAGCACTGCCAGGGACAGCGACTCCACCGCTTTCCTGGCGGCCTGTTCCAACAGGATAACTGTAAGTTCAATTGTTTCCTGCAAAAGCTTTACTGTTTCAGGAGGGATTATGGTTTTACACTGTCATGAAGTTATTTAAGAATGAAGTTAGTTGAGGATGACACAGGCAGACAAAGCATGCTCTCAGGTGTACAAGGCAATAATCCTCTTCCCTCTGCTAATTTCACCCTAGTTATTTTTGGGTGATAGGATGGAGACAAATGGGGCCCAGGATTCAGTCATTTCAGACATTCTATGGAAATGCCAAAGATTTGTCCCTCTCAGAAACAGTTACCTCATTTCATTGCTCCAAATTGCTTCTGGAGTGTCAAATTCTCCAAGGAATATCTCAGAAAACTTTTCTGGCTCATAGTTCTCTAAATAACACACCATTGCTTCAGGAAGAATATGTCCAAGTATACTTCTTTGAACTATATCTTGACCTTTTGTCTAAACAAAGGATCACACAATCATCTCAGAGGTTAGGCTGAATTCAGTCTTCCTAAGCAATTCAAGATCTAAAAGCACCTTCCCCTTACAGGCATTAAATTCTAATTCTTAAGAACTTAGAATAAAGAACAAACAATGTATTAAAGCAGTTACGGGTGGTTTGCCAGACTATGTGGGGACAGAGGAAGTTATTTCTTTGTGGTCTACTTACCTCTTCAGACTTGAAAGCTTGTTTTGCGTGTGTATATTTCAGAAACCTGGAAGAAAGCAGATATTGTTTAAGTGATACTTAAGCTACAGTTGCAAGATAAGCATACTCCGGTTCAAGAGTTCTCATTTACTTTGAGATGAGAACACACCCATCACTGAATGCAGCTGTAACCAGAGTTTGACAAATTCTTGAGAACCCCACCAAGCCAAGGCCAGAACACACAGCATGTTGAAATGCTCATGTTTATCATCTTGGCTTGAAAGTTCTGTTCTTGAAAGCCTGTTTTTCTG